AGAGGAGCCCTAGTGTATGCAAAAATATCGACAGGTAAATGTGTGGACCTACACCGCTATTCATCCATCAAAAGTGACGTCTCGCATCCGGCAACAATACTCTCGTCATTAACCAGAGCAGTTATTTTACATCAGTATGACATGCTCCTATTTGGTATCGTTCTAGCTTGGTATAGCCACGCTGACAAGCTGAATGAGAATGTCAGCAGTGATGCAATCACTGCAACAGGAATCAATAAGAAATGGAGTGCAAAGAATGAGTTGGACAAATCTGGTTCAAAAGGTGTATGGGACACGACAGCAACAACGCCACTTTCCCGCGCAGCCTGGGAACGTTGGACAGCCAGTTCCCGAGCTCCCACAGTGGGTAGATCCAGTGCTTCGTCTCGATATACAACTAAAACAGTGGACCGAGGCTCCTCGAACGAGTGGATAGGTGGATCGATGGGTGAGGATAAAGGTCAGACCGATTGGTGGACTAGAGCAGAATCACGAAGGCCTGAGGGACCCAATGAAATCTGGTGGAAGGACTCTGCACAAGCTGTAGAGGGAATTTCGAACCGATGGCAACGAGGAGATTTTCATGTTGGTGACTCATCTTTATACCAGAGCACGAATGGCTCCATTGCTGTAGGGAGCAGCGCAAACTGGAGTATCGCAAACCATTCAGAAATAACTGGTTCGAGCTCGGCCTGGGATGGAACAGCCTCAGAGGTAGCGTCCTCTGCGCTTGGTCAGTGGTCGAGGAGTTCTCGGGTACCTCAGTCTGGGGAATCTTCTTCCTCTCACAATTCCAAGGCGGATGCAAGCTCAGGGAACTTCGTAACATGGACGGCCGCAGCATCGGTGCAAGACACAGGCGACTCGCGCTCTTGGCATACAGGAGAGTCTGAGGGAGGAGCGGATACCACTCTCGCAGCCAGAAATGAGTTTTGGTGGACACAAGACGACCTGGCCTCGGGTGGTGCTTCGGATCTCTGGGATAGAGATCAATCGGATGAGCTATCTGGAGCCTCTGATGCACTTCAAAGTCGAGGCAAGACACTATCCGGAACGGGATCGAACACAAAATGGAGTGCTAGCAGTACCGTTGAAGATTCCGGTTCGAGTTCCGCCTGGGATGGAACAGCAGCGGGAATATCATCGGCAGCTCTCGGACAATGGGAGAAAAGTTCGGAAATACCCCAATCTGGAGAATCTGTCCTACTTCACAGCTCCGTAGGAGAAACAAGATCGGGATCATCTGCAACTTGGACAACTTCATCATCGGTTCAAGACGGAGGGCATACGCACGTTTGGAGGACTGGAAATCTCGATAATCACGAGGAAGCCCCGGCAGCTGTGAGGAATGAGTGGTGGTGGAGAGCCACGGAGCAGGCCGTGGGAGGAGCGGCTGATGTATGGCGCCGAGATGGGACGGATACCTTTTCCGGAAGCTCTATTACACTTCAGCAAGGGCACGATACGCCATACGAAGCAGGAGTGAACACGGAATGGAGTACAAGCGACATCGTCGGGGCTAGCGGTTCAAGCTCGACCTGGGATGGAACAGCCTCAAGTGTGGCGGCCTCTGCGCTTGGTCAGTGGTCGAGGAGTTCTCGGGTACCTCAGTCTGGGGAATCTTCTTCCTCTCACAAATCCAGGGCGGATACAAGCTCAGGAAACTTCGTAACATGGACGACCGCGGCATCGGTGCAAGACACAGGCGATTCGCGCTCTTGGCATACAGGAGAGTTTGAGGGAGAAGCGGATCCCACTCCCGCAGCCAGGAATGAGATTTGGTGGAAAGAAGACAACCACGCCTCGGGTGGTGCTTCGAATCTCTGGGATAAAGATCAATCGAGTACGCTATCTGGAGTCTCTAATACACTTCAGAGTCTAGGCAGGACACTATCCGAAGCGGGATCGAACACAAAATGGAGTGCTAGCAATGCTATTGACGGTTCTGGTTTGAGTTCCGTCTGGGATGGAACAGCAGCGGAAATACCCTCTGCAGCACTCGAACAATGGGAGAAAAGTTCTGAAATACCCCAATCTGGAGAATCTCTCCTACTTCACAGCTCTCTGGCGGAGACGAGATCGGGATCATCTGCAACCTGGACAAATTCATTTTCGGTAGGAGACGAAGGGCATTCGCGCGTTTGGAGTAATGGAGAACTTGGTAAGCACGAGAAAGTCCCCGGCGGCACGAGGAATGAGTGGTGGTGGAGAGCCACAGAGCAGGCCGTGGGAGGAGCGGCTGATGTATGGCATCGAGATGGGACGGATACCTTTTCCGGAAGCTCTATTACACTTCAGCAAGGGCACGATGTAGCATACCAAGCAGGAGTGAACACCGAGTGGAGTACAAGCGATATCGGCGAGGTTAGCGGTTCAAGCTCGACCTGGGATGGATTAGACTCAGAGATAGCGTCCTCTGCGCTTGGTCAGTGGTCGAGGAGCTCTCGGGTACCTCAGTCTGGGGAATCTTCTTCCTCTCACCTTTCCAAGGCGGATGCAAGCTCAGGAAACTTCGTAACATGGACGGCCGCAGCATCGGTGCAAGAGACAGGCGACTCGCGCTCTTGGCATACAGGAGAGTCTGAAGGAGGAGCGGATACCACTCTCGCAGCCAGAAATGAGTTTTGGTGGACACAAGACGACCTGGCCTCGGGTGGTGCTTCGGATCTCTGGGATAGAAATCAATCGGATGAGCTATCTGGAGTCTCTGATGCACTTCAAAGTCGAGGCAAGACACTATCCGGAACGGGATCGAACACAGAATGGAGTGCTAGCAATACCGTTGAAGATTCCGGTTCGAATTCCGTCTGGGATGGAACAGCAGCGGGAATATCATCGGCAGCTCTCGGACAATGGGAGAAAAGTTCGGAAATACCCCAATCTGGAGAATCTGTCCTACTTCACAGCTCCGTAGGAGAGACAAGATCGGGATCATCTGCAACTTGGACAACTTCATCATCGGTTCAAGACGGAGGGCATACGCACGTTTGGAGGACTGGAAATCTCGATAATCACGAGGAAGCCCCGGCAGCTGTGAGGAATGAGTGGTGGTGGAGAGCCACGGAGCAGGCCGTGGGAGGAGCGGCTGATGTATGGCATCGAGATGGGACGGATACCTTTTCCGGAAGCTCTATTACACTTCAGCAAGGGCACGATGCAGCACACGAAGCAGGAGTGAACACCAAGTGGAGTACAAGCGATATCGGCGAGGCTAGCGGTTTAGGCTCGGCCTGGGATGGAACAGCCTCGGAAGTAGCGTCCTCTGCGCTTGGTCAGTGGTCGAGGAGTTCTCGGGTACCTCAGTCTGGGGAATTTTCTTCCTCTCACAATTCCATGGCGGATACAAGCACAGGAGACTTCGCAATATGGACGACCGCGGCATCGGTGCAAGACACAGGCGACTCGCGCTCTTGGCATACAGGAGAGTCTGAAGGAGAAGCGTATCCCACTCTCGCAACCAGAAATGAGTTTTGGTGGACGCAAGGCGACCATCCCTCTAGTGGCGCTTCGGATGTTTGGGATAGAGATCAATCCGATGCGCTATCTGGAGTCTCTGATGCACTTCAGAGTGAACGTAGGACATTGCCTGCGTCCGGATCGAACGCGGAGTGGAGTGATATTAACACCGTTGGAGCCTCTGGTTTAAGTTCCGTCTGGGCTGAAACAACAGCAGGGATAGCAACTATGGCGCTCGGACGATGGGCGGGGAACTCTGAAATATCACAATATGGGAAAGACGTTTCGCGTCATGATTCTGAGACGCACTTTAAGTCAGGGTCGTCTGCAGCTTGGACAGCCACAACATCGGTACGAGACATAGGTGAGTCGCGCTCGTGGACCGCTGGAGAGTCCCCAGGTTCGAGGGGCGAAGTGACGTATGAAGCCGCAAGCGCTCGCGGTGAGTCGTGGTGGACGGCTGTACATCAATCACTTGGTGAAGCGCGAGATTCGTGGCATCGTCCCAGCACTATGATATACGCTGGCCACTCCCGTGCACTGGGCCCTGTCAAGGTGACTTCAATTCCGTCGGCTCCTTCCTCGACATTCTCAACTACCGAGGCCACCACGACTTCTACTACGACAGAGAGTCTCGAGGAGGGCTGGGTCGATGAATTGTCCTCTTCAAGTACTACGACATCTACTACATCGACTACTACTGAAGGAGCGATCACCTCCTCAACAATGACAACTAGTCTGTCTTCCTCTCCAACTCCGACTACCGACTTTGCCGCGACTTCTACTACGACAGAGAGCCTCGAGAAGGACTGGCTCAATGAACTGTCCTCTTCTAGTACTACGGCATCGACGACTACTGCACGAACGACCGCGTCCTCAACAATTACAACTACTACAGTTACCACATCGACCACTACTGAGGAAGCGATCACGTCGTCAACAATGACAACTACTCTATTGTCCTCTACAACTCCGAGTGCTGATGCTACCGCGACTTCTCCTATGACGCAGAGTCTCGGAGAAGATTTGCTTAATGAATTGCCCTCCTCTAGTACTACCACAACTACTACATCGACCACCACTGAAGAAGCGACCACGTCCACAACAGTGACAATTACTTTGTCGTCCCCTGCAACGCCGACTACCGACTCCGCCGCGACCTCTACTACGACAGAGAGTCTCGAGGAGGGCTGGGTCGATGAACTATCCTCTTCAAGTGCTACGACATCTACTGCATCGACCACTACTGAGGAAGCGATCACGTCCTCAAAGGTGACAACTACTCTATCCTCCTCTACAACTCCGACGACTGACTTTGCCGCGACCTCTACTACGACAGAGAGTCTCGAGGAGGGCAAGGTCGATGAATTGTCCTCTCCAAGTACCACGACATCTACTACATCGACTACTACTGGAGAAGCGATCACCTCCTCAACAATGACAACTAGTCTATCCTCCTCTAAAACCTCGACTACCGATGTTACCGCGACTTCTACTACGACGCAGAGTCCCGGGGAAGATTGGCTCGATGAACCGTCCTCTTCTAGTACTACGACATCTACTGCATCGACCACTACTGAAGAAGCGATCACATCCTCAACAGTGACAACTTCTCTGTCTTCCTCTCCAACTCCGACTACCGAGTTTGCCGCGACTTCTACTACGACAGAGAGCCTCGAGAAAGACTGGCTCAATGAACTGTCCTCTTCTAGTACTACGACATCAACCACTCCTGAAAGAACGACCGCGTCCTCAACAATGACAACTACTACAGTTACCACATCGACCACTACTGAGGAAGCGATCACGTCGTCAACAATGACAACTACTCTTTCCTCCTCTACAACTCCGAGTACTGATGCTACTGCGACTTCTCCTACGACGCAGAGTCTCGGAGAAGATTCGCTTAATGAATCGCCCTCTTCTAGTACTACGACAACTACCACATCGACCACCACTGAAGAAGCGACCACGTCCACAACAGTGACAACTACTTTGTCTTCCTCTACGACGCCGACTACCGACTTCGCCGCGACCTCTACTACGACAGAGAGTCTCGAAGAGGGCTGGGTCGATGAACTATCCTCTTCAAGTACTACGACATCTACTACATCGACTACTACTGAAGGAGCGATCACCTCCTCAACAATGACAACTAGTCTGTCCTCCTCTACAACCCCGACTACCGATGTTACCGCGACTTCTACTACGACGCAGAGTCTCGGGGAAGATTGGCTCGATGAATCGTCCTCTTCTAGTACTACGACAACTACTGCATCGACCACTACTGAAGAAGCGATCACATCCTCAACAGTGACAACTACTCTGTCTTCCTCTCCAACTCCGACTACCGAGTTTGCCGCGACTTCTACTACGACAGAGAGCCTCGAGAAAGACTGGCTCAATGAACTGTCCTCTTCTAGTACTACGGCATCAACCACTACTGAAAGAACGACCGCGTCCTCAACAATGACAACTACTACAGTTACCACATCGACCACTACTGAGGAAGCGATCACGTCGTCAACAATGACAACTACTCTTTCCTCCTCTACAACTCCGAGTACTGATGCTACTGCGACTTCTCCTACGACGCAGAGTCTCGGAGAAGATTTGCTTAATGAATCGCCCTTTTCTAGTACTACGACAACTACTACATCGACCACCACTGAAGAAGCGACCACGTCCACAACAGTGACAACTACTTTGTCTTCCTCTAAAACGCCGACTACCGACTTCGCCGCGACCTCTACTAAGACAGAGAGTCTCGAAGAGGGCTGGGTCGATGAACTATCCTCTTCAAGTGCTACGACATCTACTACATCGACCACTACTGAGGAAGCGATCACGTCCTCAAGGGTGACAACTACTCTATCCTCCTCTACAACTCCGACGACTGACTTTGCCGCGACCTCTACTACGACAGAGAGTCTCGAGGAGGGCAAGGTCAATGAATTGTCCTCTTCAAGTACTACGACATATACTACATCGACCACTACCGGAGAAGCGATCACCTCGTCAACAATGACAACTACTTTGTCCTCCTCTACAACTCCGACGACTGACTTTGCCGCGACCTCTACTATAACAGAGAGTCCCGAGGAAGACTGGGCCGACGAACTGTCCTCTTCTAGTACTACGACTCCGACGACTGACTTTGCCGCGACCTCTACTATAACAGAGAGTCCCGAGGAAGACTGGGCCGACGAACTGTCCTCTTCTAGTACTACGATATCTACTACGTTAACCACTTCTGAAGAAGGGATCACGTCGTCAACAATGACAACTACTCTTTCCTCCTCTACAACTCCGAGTACTGATGCTACTGCGACTTCTCCTACGACGCAGAGTCTCGGAGAAGATTCGCTTAATGAATCGCCCTCTTCTAGTACTACGACAACTACCACATCGACCACCACTGAAGAAGCGACTACGTCCACAAAAGTGACAACTACTTTGTCTTCCTCTACGACGCCGACTACCGACTTCGCCGCGACCTCTACTACGACAGAGAGTCTCGAAGAGGGCTGGGTCGATGAACTATCCTCTTCAAGTACTACGACATCTACTACATCGACTACTACTGGAGGAGCGATCACCTCCTCAACAATGACAACTAGTCTGTCCTCCTCTACAACCTCGACTACCGATGTTACCGCGACTTCTACTACGACGCAGAGTCCCGGGGAAGATTGGCTCGATGAACCGTCCTCTTCTAGTACTACGACATCTACTGCATCGACCACTACTGAAGAAGCGATCACATCCTCAACAGTGACAACTTCTCTGTCTTCCTCTCCAACTCCGACTACCGAGTTTGCCGCGACTTCTACTACGACAGAGAGCCTCGAGAAAGACTGGCTCAATGAACTGTCCTCTTCTAGTACTACGACATCAACCACTACTGAAAGAACGACCGCGTCCTCAACAATGACAACTACTACAGTTACCACATCGAACACTACTGAGGAAGCGATCACGTCGTCAACAATGACAACTACTCTTTCCTCCTCTACAACTCCGAGTACTGATGCTACTGCGACTTCTCCTACGACGCAGAGTCTCGGAGAAGATTCGCTTAATGAATCGCCCTCTTCTAGTACTACGACAACTACTACATCGACCACCACTGAAGAAGCGACCACGTCCACAACAGTGACAACTACTTTGTCTTCCTCTAAAACGCCGACTACCGACTTCGCCGCGACCTCTACTACGACAGAGAGTCTCGAAGAGGGCTGGGTCGATGAACTATCCTCTTCAAGTACTACGACATCTACTACATCGACCACTACTGAGGTGCCAGCCTTGGCAGAGGCTGAAGTAGAGGCAAGAAGGGCCCTGCTTAAGGGAATTAAGCAACGCAAACGGGATGCAGCTAGGAAGGCCATAGAGGCCATGGATGAGGGAGCGGTAAAAAGGTGGGCGAAGCCTAGGGCACTGCAAGAATGGTTCGATGCCGAGCAGGCCATGGACTACTTCGTAGGTCCAGCAACAGGGGATGGAGACAGAAGGGAAGGCTCTGCGAATCACCACAGGGAAGAGGCGAACCATGGACCATACTTCGAGATGGAGATGGAGACTTTCCGCCGCCTACTAGCTGTCACGCCAAAAGGGCGGGCTCCGGGAGATGATGAATGTGCATACGAACATGTTCGATACGCGGTGGAGAGCTCCAGCAACTTTCGCGGAGAAATCTGGGAAGTGATGAAGGCATCGGTGCAACTAGGGGTCTTTCCCCGAGCCTTCAAACCTGTGAGACTGGTGTTGATACCCAAACCCTCCAAAGGAGTGGACCAAGGGAATGGCCTAGCAGAGAACCCGTGGAAGAGATGGCGTCCAATATCGCTGCTCAGGGTCTTGGGCAAGGTTCTGGAAAAGGTGATCCTGTGGCACTGGCGCACCCACGAGGTGCCGGACGGGGTGCACGGATACGTGCCAGGCCGTTCGACAGTCACTGGAATCAAAGCGATGAGGGACTGGATAGAGGGGGGG